TATTAAAAAAAAATTATTTTCGCTTCAAATAACAAAATTTGTGAAACATCAATTCTACATAGCGCAAGTTGTGTATGTACATGCATACTTCTTTTGTAATATGTTTGTACATATGTATGTATATTTATAGTATAATATACGTGTATGTATGTATTGTCTCGCAATTTCTGCTTTTTTAAACGTCGCCTGCTGATTATATTTCCGCTACCGTCTGATAATAGCAAAATGCTGAAAAAAAAAAAAATTAAATGAAAATAATTGTATAATGCGAGCATATGAGTATTTTCGCCGAGCCGATAACCATATATGTATGTTTGCACATATGCATATACGTCCAAGCATACATACGCGTATGTACGTACTCATGTGTGGCTGCCACTTTGTGCACAGTATTGAACGTTGAGCTAAGTTTGTGACTTTGGAAAAATTAAAAGAGCGATTGTTAATTACTTTTACAGATTAATTATTTATTAATTCAAGCAAAAGTATTTATGTATATACATATGTACGTATGTACGCACTTATATCATGGCTTTGCATTTGCTTGACAAATATTGGCTTTGAATTTACTTTTACTACTCCTTTTGATTAGTGTTTTTTTTTTAATTGTATAAGTACTTGGGTCAAATATACTCACATTTAAGTGTATGTTTTTGAGTAATAAACAAATTTCACACATTATCACATTCATATATATGTATGTACTGGCGGTTTTGCATGTCCGCTTTTAGATTTCAAATCCGATTGCTTATCAGTTTCCCCACTGCCTGCATTACCATGTGTGCTTAAATATATTTATATTTTGATTATAATGTGGTTCTGGTTTTGCTAAAAATAAATTTAATAAAAGCTTTTTGTTGAAATTGGAATATTTTGGATTCCCACAAACATACATACGTTTATGTTTATGTGGAGTAAAAAAATTATATAATTTATTACGTACATATATATAAGACTTAAAATAAAAGGTTCTTTAAGTATTATTTATTTTTACTAATTTTTTACCTTATTTGATTTCAATTGTTGTATTTTAGTGATAAAATTTATGTTAAATAATCCAATAAAGTTCTACCGCCTTTTTACCGCCTACTAATATACTAAACCTGTTTTAGATGCATACATACATACATACAGTCAAAGACCAAAATATAAATGCACCTATAAAATTCCACTTTTTATTAAAATTAAGCATTTCAGAGTAAATGTAAGAATGCAGTTTATTCAAAGTAGATAATTAATCAACAATCCAATCCAAAAAATATTGAAAGTCGCGTAGATAACGGTAAATTCATTAAAAACATGAAATTACACGGGACAAAAGTTTAAATACAATACGTATTGTTTCATATTTTGACTAAATTAAACTAAAAATTAAGGTTTTCAAAACAATTTTAATTATGTTTTGGCCCACCTCAGGCTTCTACAACTGCCTTTAGACGACATGGGGTAGATAATTTTGTATTTCCGATGGCGCAATTTCAGACTATGCCTTTTTCAGATATTCTTCCAGGGCTTATTTGCCCGTTGAATATTTTTTTGAACTGCATTGTTGATTAAATATCTACTTTAAATAAACTTTACTCTTACATTTACTCTAAAATGCTTAATTTTAATAAAAAGTGGAAATTTATAGGCGTATTTGAACTTTTGTCTTTCACTGTATGTATGTATATATGTATATACGAGTGCTTGCAATATACTCGTACATATGTAATATTAAAAATAATTTTTAACTCATAAAAAAATATTTACAAAAATCAAACGCACGCATAGATTCAAACAAAGTTACAGGCAAATAGATGGATTAAGCGTTTGAGGGACAAAAATTAAATATAAAACCTAATATTTAGCTAAATAATTTAAGTAGTGAATAATATTTAAAGCAGATGAGACGGCATTCGAAAGTAAAAATTATTTCTGAGTTTATTTTATTTTTATCTCTGCAATGAATAGGTTTTTCTATACAAATGCTGTTGTACATACATAAGTATGTCGATACAAATTCTACGTTTTCATTAATAAGCACATTTTGATCCACACACAATTAGTCACATAATGTTATCAAATACAAACAAAAATATATTGGGCGAACATCCATTTCATATTGTCGAATTAACGCAATGAAAAAACCCAAACCGACTTGAACCCAAAACAAATTAACAGAAAATGAAAATTTAATTGAAAACGTAACCAACGCCCCCGAATTGACGTCACATCCGGTATTGTGCGGGAGAAAAATAATCGTACAAAATAGCAGCGCGCGGAACACAGCAGCAGCGCAGTTTGGCTTCAACAGCAACAGCATGTGCTTAAAATTTTTGTTGGGCTAATGATGTTCAACGGCCGAAGTGTACGTACATATGTATTGTACTTGAAATGTAACATGCCAGTCACTGTCGTCTTTAAAATATGAAATGAGTTTAAATATTTAATATAATATGAAACTTGAAGATAAAAGATATATTAACTCGTTGTATTAACTTTTATGCAAATGTCGAAAGTCGTCAATCGCAACTCGTTTGCTCGTTGTCAGTGCTCACTCTCACGTGCGAATGTTAACAACAGCTGTTGCGAGTATGCACAAGAACTGCTCGTGTTATTTAACAGAAAGCGATGCATCGTGTCCATCATCGGTTTAATATATTTTCTATAAACAAATTATTGAATAAAATAATAAAACGGAAATAATATAATAAAGTAACGCTAGCAAAAAGTAGTATTCTACGGTACGAAGCAAGGCTGCATCGAAACGATAAATTTCACGCTGGTCAAAAAAAAATCAATCGTTTCAGTTGAAACAGTTGGAAAAGTTATTGTCAAAGCAGTAATCAAAATAAATTTTAATTCATTTTTAACCGAAACGAAAAGCTGTCATTAATGTTAAAATGTTAACAGATAATGTTAAATCGTTAGCAGATAATGTTAAATCCTTAACTGATAATGTTAAACGTTAACATTGAAGTGTGCTGTTAACTCATAGCAAGCAACCATTTTAAAATTAACGTTAATGCTGCCTTTGCGCGGTCTAAATATGAACAATTTTTTTTCGTTTCGATAACATGGCGCCGTAATGAAACAAAATCATTTCGTAAACTTTATTTTCCATACTAACAAGACGAAATGACGTCGTTTCATTAATATAGCATCTCTGGTATGAAGTAATTGGTGTACGTTTAGTTGCAATCATCAAAAAAGGTAAAGCGATAAACTATTTATATTTTTCCGTATATACCCCTTTTTGCATGAATGCATCTGGTGAACTCTTAGCGTAAATTCGTAAAATCTGGTAATCGATTTCCGCTACAAAAATCAAAATGAATCGAATAGGTGATCCTCTGGCCTCTGGCAACACTATAAATTTTTAAAGCGCCTACAAATATGTACATAAGGAAATACCAAAATAACACAAATAACAATTCCGCCAATAAAGTCAAGAAATGCTCAAAACTTGCAAAAATGTTTTTGCCAAATTGCAGATCGCTTTGTAGAGCATTCAAAATTTATTATTTTTAAACATATTTTTTTTCCTAATTTTAAATTATTTTTTTTTTTTGCTGTTGTGCTATTTTTGGATATTTCAATGTTCAAGAGCACACATATGCATAGGCAACAGTACATACATTTCTGAGTGCGTGTGTTATATTGTATGTACATACAAATGTTTTAAATTATTTAATTAATAAGAAATACAGAAAACAGTTCTCGTTTAGCACAACAATAAAAATAAAACTATAGACAATATAAAGCTAAATGAAATATCATAAAAGTGAATGTGTGCGCGAAATTCAGAATTTATTTTTAAATATTTGATTGTTTTTTCGTAAAGCTTTGCCGGTTGAACGCTAAATATTTCATTCATTATTCCGACGATGTGTTAAGCGTTGTGTTCAATCATCTAATTCCGAGCGCATTTATTTACGTATGTGTGTACATACATTCATATGTACAAGCCTTGTGTAGTCGTGTAAAATTCCAGAAGCGATCACATTCCATTCAAATGAACTCAAAACCCGAAAAAAAAATTTGATCACCACAAAATGGTCAACAAATGGGAAATCAGCTTTATTGAATGGTGCAGGGCCACAGCATCCGTTAGGGAATCGTTGTTGATATACGTACATATATAACTGTAAGTTAATTAATAAAGGTATTATTTAGAGCAAAAGATATGAGAAATAAGTTGAATTTTGTGTCTCAAATGTAAAATAAATATTTTTCAAAATTATTTAAAATTATTTCTTCCTCTGTAAGTAGGTACATATATTCGCACAAAATTATTGAAATGGAAATATTTATCTCCGAAATATTTAGGAATACTTACTGGCTCTGCTCATTGACTTTCTATTGATTTTTTTACCTATGCTGTTGCTTACAGCTATTCACCTTGAAAAGAGTATTCATAAAATCCATATTTATATATGATTAGATGTCTGTAGGAAAAACCAATACAAATTCTCAACAAAATAAAGAAATTTTGATCTTAAATATTTTGATCAGAAATTGAATTGGTAGATCCGGTATTTTCATTTTTTATTTGAATGCATAAATTAATTATTTCATTTTCAGCGATGACTTTCGTCCGAGTTTATGTTTCCTCACAGGGTGTTCACGCCGAAAGCTCTTTACATTTTTGCAGATATAAACAATAAGTAGAAAAATACTTGAAATAGTTTGGATATCATTTTGCATATTTTTCACACTTAGTATTTATAATAAATTTTTAGGTGGTCTAAAAATAGGCAGAAAAAATTTGAAAATAATTTTTGTTTTGAGTGAAATGTTGAATCGGCATACTAAACATATGTACATACATATATGTATATGTATATATGAATATGTATAATAAATATATATTATATTAAAACACATGTTATATATGCAAATGTAACAACAACAACTCTTTTCTATTCGTCTAAATTTTGACTTTTTATTTAGTATAATTCCTTAAAATACTCTTAATTAACCACTTTGCCTTTCTTCTTCTCTTTCATTCATTGCAGAAAGCGAATCGTTTTCCATTCACCGCACCGGGATTACACGAAAATCAACTCTGCGTCGAATTGCTTGTGCGTTCTTACGAATTGGCGCTACAACATTCGTGGATTTGCCTCGAGCGAGTCGAGCAGAAAAAGAATGAGGGAAACTGTTGGTCCACGGCTAATTTACCGAGGGCATTGAGGTTTCTCAAATACTAGATTGCCACACTACATGGATCGTAGAAATGGCGGCGATATTTTGGCGCCACCACGGCCCCCAAAGCAATTACCACGTATACATCGTCCACGCGCACCCGATCCCGAGACTATGTTAAACGGCACACAAATGCAACAAGAGTGGCAGCAGCAACAGCGACAACAACAACAGCAACAGCAACAGCAGCGTCAAATGACTTCTACGCCAACGCCGGCGTCAACAGCAGCGAACACTTCGAGCACCGAAACAACGCAACGTACAATTAGTAACAGCCCGAGACAACAACAGGCACATCAACAATATCAACAACATCAACAACAGCAACAACAGGAACAAAATATCAGTAGTAACAATTATTCAAGTCAATATAGTATTACGGGCGTGGATCGAGGTATTGGTACAAATAGTCAAAATGAGAATATTGCCATTGTCAATACATTGATGCAACCAGAATACGAGGATCAAGAGATCCATCATTTGACGATACTGCCACAACGGCCGACTACATTAAATCTGAGCCGCAATAGCAGTCACGTGAGCAATACATCTTCATCGACCTCTTCGTCCTCGATAACAGCAGCGAGTACGTTTACACGCCGTCGGCAATTACCACCAACACCAGGCGCTGCCGCTCGTCTGTTGGTAAATAACACCGCTAATAACAGCAGCAGCAGCACCAGCATCAGCAACAACAGCAACACCCGAGCGCAGCCGAATAACAACAATAATAGTAGCAGCATTAGTGGTCTAAGTGCCGGTCTCACCGGCTTACTCAGTCATTTCCATAGCAACGAACCCGCTGTGCCGTCATCAGTTACGCTGGCTCAACCGCGACCAGAGTCTCAGCGGCTCACCAATGAGTACGTCGACACGCCGTTCCGAAATGCTGCCGCGAATGCCGTTATACCAAATCAATTGCAATTGCAGCACGCTTCCCGTGCACAACATCCGGCGGGGCAGCATGATGGTGGTCAAACGACAACGCATCATCTATTGTTACTGCCGCAACGCGAGTTCCGCCAGCAGCAGCAGCAACAACACCAACAACATCAGCATCAGTTACATTCGAACCGCTTGGCGGGCACTGTGGCCTCGGCGACCGTCACGGCGGGCATCGATGGCACGGACGGCTTCTTACATTCGCATCATAACCACAAAACGCCACTGTCCGCGACAACTGCAACGACAACAGCAATCTGTCCACATACGGGCAAGGTGATTCCAGTCTCGCAGAATGGGCACAGTGGCAGTAACAGTGGTGTCGGTGGCTTGGGTAGCTTTACCAGCTCGCTAAATGCGCAACAGTCACACACGCAAGCAATTACAAAACAACCCGCCTCAACGACCAGCCAAACGTCGCAGCTCGATAGCAATAATTGTAAATTTGCTAAAGATCTACCCGCATTCGACGACTTGTTAACTATGCACAATATAGCGACGGGCATTTCCACGCCACAGGGTATGATATCCGCTGTACATGGCGCCAGTCCGCTCGGCACGCCCATCATACTTGGCAGCAGTGGCGATACATCCTCACTAAATCAACTACTCTGCCCACGTTGTGGTCATTGCCGCTGCGAAATGTGCCAAAATCCACCGCATCTGCCGCAAACGTGGCTCTGCAATAAGACCTGCCTATGCAGCGCCGAATCGGTCATCGATTATGTATCGTGTCTGTGTTGTGCCAAAGCGCTCTTCTATCATTGTGCACGCGACAATGATATGGATTGCGATGATGGCTCCGGCACACCATGCGTTGACAATCCCTGCTCATGTGGACCCTACAAACGTACACAACGTTGGGGTTGGCTTGGCGCACTATCACTTGTGCTGCCCTGCCTTTGGCTCTACTGGCCCATGCGCGGCTGTGTGTCTTTCTGTGAAAAATGCTACGGACGCATTGTGGGACGAGGCTGCCGCTGCCAACAAACGGATTCGCCTACCAACATTATACCCATCTCACAGTTGGGTCTTAACGGCAGTGGTGGTAGCGGTACAACAAGCATTTTGAGCGGCAACAATGGTGGTACCGATTCATTGAAATCGGCCGATCATCATCACAATCATCATCACCATCACAATCATCATACGCGAAAGGGTGATCTAACGCCGAAGAAACGTCTGCTCGATTCAAATGGCGAGTACTGAAAGAACGAGAGGTACATATTATAGAAGAAGAGTACTAACTACAAACATACCTGAGTATGGAGTATACTGCAGTACTGAAGTTGGTTTAATGTGGAAGAGTTTAACGAATTGGTATAGAACCACTGCTGGCGGTGGGTTATGGCGTGTGGATTTTGAGTTTGAGGTTTAACACTTCCTGTGTGATAGCGGTAGAAACCTAATCAGCTGTTTGTAGTGCACCGATTGCGCAGGCAAAAATCGAGCAACAGTATTTTAATGTACAATGACTTGCATTTAGTAAACGCGCTAGATTTCCAGTCCCTTGCTCTATCTCTCTATCCCTCGCGCGCTCTCTGCAACTCTCTCTCTATCGCAGCAGTACCATTTATTGTGGAGCGTGCGTAAGTACCAGTGAGCTGCCCCAAAACGCCAAGCCCGCCGCGGCAGTTGTCTAACGCTAAATACATTACATAGAAGTGTAGGGGGAAAGAAGGTAAAACGAAATACGAAAAATCAACTCTGCACAATTAAAATAAAACATGTAACAGCGCAGAATAAATTGAGGAGCTTAGTGAGGGAAAAAATTAGTGGTAAAAAATTGTAAACAAGTTTGGTAGGAGCGTGAAAACCGTGAGAGAAATTCATTAATATGCGTAAACTATATATTTTAGAGTAAACAAATTTTAATAACCAAAGACTGCAAACAGATAATTATTAATTATTAGAAATGTTATTTAAAACGGAATTAAAAAGTGCCAAGCTTTCTAATTTTAACTATCTACTATTTCAAAGATAGTTTTTATTGTGTGAACGCAATTTATCAATTCATCAGGTTATCTGCAATTTCAAATTTTTAATTAGTTTTTTTTTGTTATATTTTTTTTTAGTTTTTTTTCGAATATGTTTTCATAGATACTTTTTAATATTTTTGTTCAATAATTTTTTTTTTTTTAGAAGTTTGCAAAACTAAAATTTGAATATTAAATTTAATTCGGACACGGGAAAAATTAATTTCTCTTCAAAAACATGTTTTTAATTTCAATTTTTTGTTTTTTTTTTTTTCAACAATAAACTTCTAAAGTGAACTAAATAGATATTTTCCCAAACATTTTTTACATTCTGTTGTCAACATTCAACGTAAGAATCTTGTTTAATTATTGTTAAAATTCTTAATTTCTATACTTTATTTGTTCACCATCTAAGTCAGGTCGAAATGTCAAATATTGGCAATTAATTGAATACTTTATGAAATAATTCCATTGTAAAAATAAAAAGTAAATAAAAAAGTATTTGTATATAAGAAACTGAAACCCCGGCGCTTTATAGAGTTGGCAAGTGAAAAGTGGAACTGAATTACGTTTTATACAAATAGCAACAAAACACAAATTAGGTATGTATGCATGTGAATCAAAAAAGCTTAAGGCTGACCGGGAAACCAAGAGTAATAGTGGCGAATAAATTAGGCAACTGAAATGAGCACACTTTTGAAGACACATACTGGTTGCGTGATAAAATAAGGCTTATGAGTGATAAGGAGGCGTACAATATAAACTACTTTAAAAAAAAAAACAATAGATTACAAATTTTGGCATAATTTCTACTATCTAGAGCCGCTAGAATGAAATCAAAACTGAAAAGCTCACAAAAAATGCTTACAAAAAGGTTATCTTAATATAATCTTCTGGGAACTTTTCAAAGTCTATTCGATTTAATGAAAGCTACTTACTCTAAAAGCTCGTTGTATTTTACTTACTACTTATTTTACATTACATTTCACTCCATTCGACTACTGGTTCCACTACTGACTTCGATCTAACCAAGAACATTCGAAAACAGAAAGTTCAATTTGAAACAAAATAAACAGTAAAAAGTTATAAAAATGTTATGTGACAAAAAAACTTCGTAAAATGTATTTTATATGGAAACTTTTTGTAGTGTATATAAAATGAAACAGTGAAAAAGAAAACATAAAACCGTACATACATATAATATACAACTTGCTATTTACTATAAAACTAGAGACGAATGGAAAACAAATAGTATGAGTAAATACTCCATCTGCCTTCATTTTGCATTTACATGAACTAAATATTCACAGAAAATTATATAATTTTTCTCAAAATGTGCAGTTTTTGTAGCTTTAGTTTTCTCAAAAAGCTCACTAAAAACACAAGCTAAACGAAAATGCGTTGATTTTTACATTAATAACATTGTAATGAATGAATGTTTGCAAGCTTTCAGTTTCTATAGGTTTAGTTTCCAAAAAGCTAATAGGAAAACATTCTCTTATGTGTTGGTACTTTTTTTTGTATCTCGTCTAATTTATAAAATACCGCGATAATAAAATTAAAAATATTAACTTTTGGTTTTGAAATGCGCAGAAAATAAGTTTTTAATCTGAATTAATTTTGAAATTTATGGAAAGCTGGAATTAGCGCTTTTACTCAGTTGGGCAATTCTTTAGGTTACAGAGAAAGCTCGCGTTGGAGCCTTTGCTGAACTCGTCTCATTTATGTTAACTGGTTTAAATATGTAAATTAATTGCCCCCTAATTTTCAATGAAAAAATTTTCTCGAAAAATATATTTAAATGAGGGAATACCAGATTTATTTATTTAAAATTTGCTGCTTCCAATTTCAAATTTTGAAGTGCGAATTATAAATTCTCTAGCAAATATAGTTTTTGATTTAGCAGCATGTCACTTGTCACTTGTCAAAAATATGAAAAGGCTTCAATGAATGTTTTATCAGCTTAAGCTTTGGCAAAATCTTTTGGGCTCAATGGAAAACAATATACACGTATGTGTGTGATACAAAATGAAAGCAAAAAGATTTGTAAATCATTACTAGTTTTGTCCCTTTCTTACTCTTATAATTTGATTGCCAACACATTAATCAACGCCTAAATGCAAAGTACATATGTATGTATAGACTTTATTTTGTACCTAGGTATGTACATAGTATATTCGTGCAAGCTTTGTGAATATTTAAGAATAAAATCATCTTGTAATTGCAAAAAAATGCTATTTGATTCCATAATCTCAAGATGTTGTGTCCCAAATAACTGGACTATGAAAATTAGAGTCGAAAATCGCTTCAGCGGTTATAAAGCGCCAATCATATACATATTTATAAATATACTTACGTATATTGAAAAAAAAAAACATAACAAAAATAACTATGTATAACTTAACCTTTACTTACCTACATGTAGAAAAAAAAAAACATTTAAACATTTAAAGTGAAAATTAATTATAAACAGAATTTAAGTAAACTTTTTCTATGCGAACTCATTACTTTTTGGTATTGAATTAAACAAGAAGGACGGACAAGAGGAAGAAAAAACCAAAAAAATTTAACACCAACAAAAAATCTAAAATGTAACTGAAAAAAGTCGAAAAACAAATTTAAAACTTAAAACCAATTAATTTTTATACAAATGCACGTCTGTTTATTTTATACGTAAATATATGAAGAAAAAATCCTATAGTTGAGTAAAACAGAAAATAAGAATAAAAAAAAAATTTAATTATAAAAAAGTTATTAATTGTGTATATATGTAAATCTGTCTGACGTAAATTCTAAATTATTTGCATTGAAAAAAATGTGGAGTAAAAAAGTTTTTACATACACGTATGTATGTATGTATTAGCAAAACGAAAACGAGAACAAAAATGATTAAATTATTACAAATTTAGTTTGTGAGAGCAAAACGCCAATTCAAAGTCCAATCAAACAAAAAAAAAAATGTTATTTATCTTTTTTATAAATTAAAGATAAATATAAAATATGTATGTATATTATTTCATTGTATGTATGCAATAGAGAGTGTATAGTAAATAGTATGAAACTAAACAAAACAAACTACTAAACATATTTGTACGTACAATTGTACATAGTATATTACTATATATAAATACTATATACTGTAGATATATATATATATGCATATGTATATGTATATATGTCTAAATATCACTATTAATTAAATAGTTATAAAATGAACAAAGAATAGGAAGAAAAACTGGTAATAAATAAAAATAAAAATAATAAAAAAAGCAAAAAACTAAGCTAAACTTAGTTGTTAATTTTAGTTACGAAAATAAATTAATAATAACTAAACATACATACATTTAAATACAATTATTATTACCATTATTATTATTATGATTATTATTATTATTATTATTATTATTATTATTTAAAATTAAAATAAACTATATACTACTGTTACATAAATGTAATTAAAATAAAAAATATGCGAAAATAAAATTAAATTGTATATGTATAACTAATATAAAATTGAGACTAATTTAATATGTAATATAAAATAAACAAATTAAAGGAACAAAAGCATTCAAATCAGCAAAAGTACACATGGAAAAAAAAATATTGAAGGGAAAATAAAACAATATCCATATCTTTGTATGAGTGAGAGATGTTAACGGCGAGTCTTAAGCCTCGAAAATTCACCAGAACTAGTCCATTTTAAGTGCATTTGGGTACGTCAATGGTATACTTACCAACCTTCTCTGGGGAGCACCACCGCCTGCTAAAGGCTAAAGCCGTGAATTCCCCTGCGACTGTAAAGTTGCCGTAAGATGTAGCAATTAATTTATTTCAAACTTCATGTCAAAATAACAAATTTGGAATTTAATTTCAAAAGCAGTCACAAGTAACATACACAATTTCATAAACATTTACTTTCAATATTTGGAAATTAGCTTATTTCAGAAATCAAATTGCATACAAACGGATGCAGTCACACACTGCAATTTTTAATTCAGCAATAAAGTGAAAATAAATTGCAGAAAGTAGCTTCAGCGCGCGTGGAGGAAATAAAAATTGCTACATCTGACGGCGCCTTAAGCCTTTTTTGCCGTACGAACTCGCCATACGTCTTAGCATTGTGTATATAAATAGAACATACATACAAACGCTCACACGTGCGCATGAGAATATTCGAAGTAAAAATTGAGAAATCTTCAATCAGAATTGTTTTGTAGCAAATGTGTGTATGTTGGAAACAAAATTAATTAATTTCTGTTTTTTTTTTTGTTTTTGTAATATACGAAAATTAAAGTGTTATTTATTTTATTTGTAAAATATGTTTTACCACTACTTCCCAATTTGAACGAAATGCAAGAAAAATACTCTCAAATTGTAAATTTCAGAAAGTTTAAAGAAATTAACTAAAGTAATATGTATGTATGTTTTAGACCACCTTCCATATAAAAAATGGGCATGGGCTTGGGCATGGGCATATGTATGTGTGTATTATGGCAACAGCAACAACAACGGCAGTTAGTAGAAAATTTTAAAAATCGAAAATCTTACCAAATCGTCTACACAGACACACACACACACACACAAAGCACTTACATACGAACATACATATGTGTACAAAAAAAATCCATACACACACACACACATGCGTCCAAAAAAAAACATGCATACAAAAGTTAACGAAAATGATGCGAGTTAAAGGTGATGATAAAAATGCACTCATAGAGTCGAGGAAATGATTATTATTATTAAATACGAAATAAATAAACAAAAATATAAGATACTAAAATTTAAATATATTGCATTTTTATTGGTTTCTCTAGAATCAGACGCACCACGTACTAATGCACATTTGCAGTACTTGCATGAGAAGCAGATTAGCCTCGTTAGCGGTTGCTTCCACTTCAGCTGAAATCAAATGGTTTTTAATACCTTTATGATTTATCCCTTTGGTTTGTAATTGAAGTTAGAGAGTGACTCTTGAAAGGTAAGCAATCGTCACGGTTCGCGTACTGCCCCAACCAATAACTAAAAATATAGAAATTATTTTGAAATTAAATTAAATCTTTCTATTTGCGGTCACGCCTTGGAAGGTAATGGCAGCTCCTCCGGGTATA